GACCAAAATTCGACGTTATCTTAAGAGTTGAGCCATGGTTTAACATACGGAAGTGACTAAGGCAGTAACAAAAGAACAGGTCAAACAACCCCCAATATATCTGACATTAAAGCTGACAGTGAGATGGATAATAAAACAATACAGCACGTAATAAAACTAGTCGAGCGAACGGTGGAAATGCTAAACAAAGACGAACGGCCCAATTAGGAAACCGTAAAATTGTAGTGAAATCGTAAAAAACTACATTGGCAAATAACGTACGTCTATGTTGTTAGTCTGATTCTTTCTCTCAACTAGCATTTAGTAAAAAAACATTTTTAGCTCGTAACGAATTCACTTCTTTGAAGCTAGAACTTTCTAAACAAATTGAAAAGCATATGCTTTCATTTCTGCACACCATCATAATAAATCTCCAGTATATGGCGTGTATTTGAATAAGGTCTGTAGCCTGGCACCACGGGCAGACGGTTACTATGTACTGATAGCCATACTAACCTGAGATAAGCCGAGATCACAGGAAATCTGACAAGGCCGGGCATGACCGGACATGCCTCCATGACCTTAAGTACACACAATGAACAACAAAGCTGTGGCAGCTTACTGTCAGGGGCTGTTTGTGTCTTTATAACATTTGAGAACGCTATATACAAATGTTAAAAATCATGTGATTCTTGGCCTACTTTACTAGGGAAGGATTAGGATGGCCAACTAGTCGGCTTTTTGATTGAGCTTGAATAGTGAGCTTATCTAGATTTATTATTTTAGTGGTGGTGACAAAGGGAATAAATTAGAGACGTACCGTCTCTGAGAGGGTGTTTAACATGCTAACATGTGTAACAGTATCTGAATGTCCAAATTAATTTCCGATACTACAGCCATTAAAGCTGGGCTTTTCTAACAAATTCACAGACTAGACAATTAATGTCAGAATCTAAAAATTTTAATTATCCGTTAAACTACACATGAAGAAAGACATCTTTAGCTGTTGCATTGCACCTGGTGCTGTCAATGTTGCGTTGAATGTTAAAAAAATACAGTAAAAATGTTTCAAAATTAAAAAATGTTTCAAATCACATTCTTTTAGGGTTTGGACAATACTGTAATTTTATAGTTGCACTACAAAACATTTCTTAATTTTTATTTTAAAGTAGTATTAAATTGTAATATTTCTAAATTTGTTTAATATTTATTTTTTAGTAGAAGTAGTAATAATTCTATGTTTAAAAAAATTATAATTTATGATAGATAATCACAAAATATTTGGCCAAATTGTGCAGCCCTACACACCGCAAACCTCAAGATTTTTTTAAACGGCATTTTAAATAGCAATCAATCACACATTTTAACAGAAAAATCACAATTAGATTTTAAATATATGATAAATATTAGTATTGCAATTTTACAGTTGTACTATAAAAACTTATCCCCTCCTTTGCTTTAATGTTAAATATTACAAGTATTTTTTAAATAATATTTTTACTTGCAACTTCTAAATATACATAATTTTAAAATATATATATTTAAAAAGGTTTTTGAATTAGTCTTTTCTTTAAACGGTGTGCACACTGTAAAAATGTTTTTCAAAGTTGTAAGTAAAAAAAAGATTACTGGAGTATGCTTTACAAGAAAGCATGATTCAAAATTTCATGATTAATTCAATGTGTTACTTGTAAATTTCACAAGTATTTACAAAGAAACGACAAGCAATTTCTTAGTGAAAAATGTTTTTAAAAGTAAATCCTACACCATTTTTGTTTTTTTAAATCATTATCTTAATCATTACGATATAGGGCTTCCTTAAGATCTTGTCCTTTTGACAATTCAATAACTAGTAGATTTTGAAAAATATACCATTTCTCACATCCCTACATTCTATATAATAGTAGAAAAAAATCAAACGCTTTGCCACGAGCGCTGAATCATATTCATCTGTAACCCAGCAGTGCAAACACACACCCGGCTGTGGCTGTTTGATTTTAGACCATAAAGTTTAAATGCACATTCCTCCTTAATACTATAAAATGACTAACACTGATGGTGATTGATCCTGGCTTGATTTGCATTTCGCTTGGTCACTGCCTATTAAATTGCTAACGTCACGGCATTACAGCCATTAGGAAAGTTCCCCATTTCTGTTAGTTCCACACGCACGTTTAAACGAAGGCTGAAAGATGCCTTGTCTGGCTCCTTAGACGTCCTTTTCTGAGTAATCTGTCAAATTAAGAGGGTTAGTCATCAAGTACGCACACGTGAATGGACAGACAGGCTACGGCGCTCAAATCAGTTTAACGTGATTGAAGGAAAGCACGAAAACGCCTGAGTTTGATGAAAAACACATGATGGAGCCAGTCAAACTGTGTGCAAATGAGCAAAAAAATGCCAAATGCAAAGTCTTTCTATTTTCTAAAGAAAACGCGGTTGTTCGACCAATGTTTTTAGTGTGCTGTCATCTCTGGGATGGTTTCAGTACTGCTTAGAGCTAGAAATCGCACAATATGTGGCTTTTGTTATTCGCTGTTTACACAGAGACTGGCTTTTTTTGTGAGCCGGTTAATACTGTTCAAACAACACTTGTCCGAGTGTCTGTTTTTTTTCCAGAGAGCTAGCTGGGTAATCTGGCAGGCTCGTCGGCAAACAGGTAGGGCAGGGTGGCAGGTAGATTAGCAAAGCCACTGCTATGTAACCTCACAGTGCCACATTGTTCCCTCTGATTGTACTGGTACAGCAGAGCTGAAAAGAGAGCGTGGGAAAGGCAGATGCTCTCAAGCTGGCACACCTATACCTAGAAATTTTAATAACATGTGGCACTAAAAAGGAGCACAGAGTTGACATCATGCTAATTTCAAGTATGCCAGCTCCCATTTCCTTGAATAGCTGGGTGATGTATCAAATATTAATGATAGAGTTGAGTTGGACTACTAAATTCATTGTTGCAAAGTTCTATTCATTTCTGAGATTCAGTTCAAACGGTCCATTTCAATGAATTGATTCAGAAGTCAGTGTTGAAAACATTAATGCAAATAAACATTAATGCACATATTCTTATTTTAACACAAAAAAATAATAGTGTTGAAATCTTTCTGATGTTTAGATTTTTTAAATAAAAATAATCAAGAGTTAAAATGTAAACTGAGATAAACATTAAGTATTGTTAAGAGGCTATAAATAGTTTTTTCAAAGAGTCCTGAAAAATGATTTTCACAAAAACATGACCTCACACAACTGTTTTCAACACTGATAATAATAATAATAAATGCTTCTTGATCAGCAAATCAGCATATTAGAATGATTTCTAAAGGATCATGTGACCCTTAAGTAGGGCTGGGTATCGAGTTCGATACTTTTTAGGCACTGACCAAATTGCCTCGATACCATCGAGTATCGAAAAACGTCTCGTCGTTCGGTACCAAATTTCGATACCTAAGGGGTTAATCTCATCAATGTCAGTGAGCCAATAAGCCTGCAGCACTAGGTGTGCTCGACTAGAAGCAGCGCAGCGCAAATCGATCAGTGTTTGACAGCCGCGAGAGCGATTCGAAAGCGCACGGAGCAGTCTGCTCTCTATAGCTCTCGTGGTGGCGCACACGTGAGGCTGTAGTGCTAATGCGTCCCAGCCCCCTTAGATGTAAGGCTACATTTACACTGGTGCGTTTTTGTTTTAAAATGAAAACGATCCTCGTCATACTGGCTTTTCCACTGCATTTCAAGCCGGCTTTCCACTATCTCTGACAAACGACAGACCGAAAGTCATTCATTTCCAATGGAGAGTGCGGGAGCTGCGTGGAGTTACGATCATGCAGATGTCCGTTCATTCATACTATGCGACCGAAAGCGCATGTTATGTGACCATTCGTGCACACTGTAGCACCATGCTACATAAGACAATAAATAAGATTTTACTCAAAACTAATTTTAAAACACCATTGAGTGTTTGTAATAACTTCCGATTGCCGTCTAATGTGTGTTTTGGCCATGTAATGTTGCTGAAATTAAATATGTTATTACCTCTGAGTCAGAGCAGCGATCATGGAAGAGAGAACACAGGCAGACAGCGCTGGAAGCTGCTAATGGTCATCAGTAAATCAGTGGAAAATAAATAGAAATCATGATTCTGTCTGAGCTATGCGTTTTAAATAACAAATGTGTAAACTGAAGACTATTTGAGCTTTATTAAAACTATATGCACTGATTTATTGTGTTGGTTACATTTTGTTCCTTTGTGCAGTGGCTCAGGAGATGAGTCTTTGAGTCTGTATAAACATCAACAAGCTGAAAAATAAAGCCCAAGTTTTTTTTTTTAGATAATGCAATGTTTTTAAAATTGATTTCATAAAATTGGTATCGAAAAAAGTATCGTTCAGGAACCGGTATCGAAGTCAAGGTATCGGTATCAGTATCGATATCGAAAATTTTTGAACGATACCCAGCCCTACACTTAAGACTAGAGTGATGCTGAAAATTCAGCTTTGCATCACAGGAATAAATTACATTTTAAAATATGTATTAAAATAAAAAAACACTGTAAAAATCATAATATTATGAAATATTATTACAATTTAAAAGAACTGTTTTCTATCAAGTAAATGCAGTCTTGGTGAGCAGAAGAGAGAGAGAGAAAAAAAAAACTTTTAAACGGTAGCCCTACATCTGCAAATTCACCCAAGTCCAAATTTTCCCAAAACATGTACGACAAAGATTTCAAAAGAATCGAAACGGTCCAAAATTTTGTACCATGATGAAAAAAAAGAACAATTAAACGTTGGGATGCTGAATGAAGTGAACTTTTTTTGTAGAGCAATAAAAAGTGGCATTAACAATTTTAGCCTATTTATTTATTCTACTTTTGTGTCAACCATTGGATTGGTATGATTATTTGGATCCATTTAGTAACCTGTGAGGCCATCCAAGAGAACCAAAGATTCATGTGGTGACCAGTAGTAAGTGTTACATTATAATGAAGCGAGGGATATGGAAATAACTACAGTCAGGTGGCATCTCACCTGTCCAACTTCCTGTGCATACAGCGCTGTCGTATTTGGCACCGTGTTGTGCTTCTTCAACTTCCTCTGTTGCTCCAATCGCTCTTTCTCTTTCTCAACGACACGTGTGGACTCTCTCAGCCTCTCCAGGTCTTGCTGATACGTCTGCCTCTGCCTCTCGAGTTCCTGCCTCTCCTCGGACAAACGCAGCTCCAGTCGCCGACACTCCTCCTCCCACTCCTTCAGCCGCTGCTCGGCCGCCTCCGCCTGCCGCCGCTGCTTCTCCCGCTCCCGTTCCCAGCGCGCCTGCTCCTGCCGATGCTGGCTCTGTAGCCGTTGGAAGTTGGCAAGCTCCTCGCGGTGCTTCTCCAGGTTGCGCTGCTTCTCCTGCTCCAGAAGCACGTCTGTGCCACGGTTCCGGCTGCCGGGACGGTCCCGCTCGGCGGTGAGGAGAGAGGCCCGCTGGAGCTCGATGTGGCTGTCCTGCTGAGAGATTATGGCCTGAGGGGGAAGGAGACAGAAAGGACTTGATGTTTGGATAGTTGTTAAGAGCTTCCTGGTAACTAAGGCTTAGTTTCGTGCTTCAGCTGCTTGGCCTTGTATTTGCTCAAACATGATTTGTGTACTGTATTGTAAGGAGCTTTGGTAAGAAAGTGTCTGGCAAGAAAGTAAATTTAATGCAATGCAAAGAGAATGAAAGCACAAAAAAGAAAGCAAGCAACTTAAAGGACAACAGACAGAAAGGGAAAAAAAGTACAAAAAAGAAGGAATGAAAGGTCAAAAGAACAAACAAAAGCGTGAATGAAGAAAAAAATACAGAAAGAATTAAACCAAAACCAAAAGAACGGAACAAAGAAAATTAAAGGATAACTAAAAGGACAGAAGAAAAACCAAAAAACCAAAAGAAAGAACAGACTGTCAACAAACAAAAGAACCAATGAAAGACAAAAACAAAACGAGCAATTAAACAAACGAAAGAAAGAATCAAAAGACAGAGTACAACAAAACAGAAAAATAAAAACAAAGCAAACAAGAGAAAAAAGAACAATGGCAAACAAAAACAAAAAGACAAGAAAGAAAATGAAAGGACAACTGAACGAAAAAAAATAACAAAAGAATAAACGAACGGCCAAAGAAAGAACTGTCATCAAAACAAACAAATGAAAGACCGGGAAAAAAAACAAATAAAGTAAAGTATAAATACAGAGAGAGCAAATGAACAAACAAAATGTAAAATTAATAAAAGAAAAAAAAAATAAACAAAAATGAAAGAAAAAACAAGAGTGTCAAAAAAATAACAAAAAAGGCTGAAAGAAAACAGCAAAAGAGCAAAAATGAAAACAAATGAAAAACAAAAAAGAACAAGAACAAAAAGGACAAACAAAAGAATTAAAAAAACAAAAATAAAACAAAAATGAAAGTAAAAAGCATAAATAAAACAAATTGACTGAAGACTAAAAAAAATAAAAAAAAAAAATGAAAGAAAAAACAAGAGTGTCAAAAAAATAACAAAAAAGGCTGAAAGAAAACAGCAAAAGAGCAAAAATGAAAACAAATGAAAAACAAAAAAGAACAAGAACAAAAAGGACAAACAAAAGAATTAAAAAAACAAAAATAAAACAAAAATGAAAGTAAAAAGCATAAATAAAACAAATTGACTGAAGACTGGGTTCTGTGTACCTTTGTGTCCATTCATTTTCCGTTTTTGAACTCATGAAATACGAAAAATGCATTTTCTTCTTTAATGGTTCAAACAATGATGAATAGAATAAAAAGATACAAACTAATTTTCATTATTCAAAATTTGTATTTAATTAAAATTCGTAAAAAAATTTTTTTTATATAAATGCTAAATTTAATTTCTAGCTTATTAGCATCTCTATACAGTATAAGCGCCGTCTCGCACTACTGATGTGGCTACCAGTAACCTACTGCTTTATGAAAACCTTTGGCTTCGATATTTTTATGATCTTAACACCTTTTTATGATCTTTCATGCCTGAAAACATGTATGAAATACTCAGATATTTCTTTGCAATTAACTGTATCCAGGGCAGGTGTACGGGAGTGCTAGAGGGAAACGAAAGCAAGAGAACGTTAGTTGAAGTGGTAGAAATAGGATACTGGCGAAACGTATTTTTCCAAATGCTCCAGTGTGTATTTGTGTTTCAACTCTGGAGGTTTCTATTTTCAACATGTTTTTGCAGCACTGATCAATAGCCAATCACTGACATTTTCTGTTGTTATGAATGCAGTGGCAAAGCGTTTAAGCTAGAACCAACTCCACGCGACAGTTTTGTTCAGTGCTGCGCAGTCACTCATAACAAACAAAGTGTAACATGATGTAAATAAGAGATTTATTGAGCAGTGTAGAGCTTCACTGATTATAACGGAACTTTGTGAGATTGCAATAAACTGAAATGAAAAACAGCTTTATAATTATTATAAAGGGAGCGCTCTTTGCGCGCTTTCTTGGCTAATCCTAATCCAAAAAAAGTTTTGTTAATCATGATGCTAAGAGGACCAGTGACAGCAGCTTACATGCTGCAAAGTTTCAGGAGTGAAATCCACATTTGATTATAACGGAACTTTGTGAGATTGCAATAAACTGAAATGAAAAACAACTTTATAATTATTATAAAGGGAGCGCTCTTTGCGCGCTTTCTTGGCTAATCCTAATCCAAAAAAAGTTTTGTTAATCATGATGCTAAGAGGACCAGTGACAGCAGCTTACATGCTGCAAAGTTTCAGGAGTGAAATCCACATAAAAATGCAGCATTGTCAAAAAATTGGCAAAAATATGTCAAAATAGATGTACATTAAGGCTAGGTTCTAATTTCAATTTTGGTTTTCAGCATAGCATTTAAAAATACAACTGTTCTTTTTTCATTTTTTTTTATGGTTAAAAAACAAAAAATGAATGGACGCAAAAGTACACGGACCGACAGAACAAATAATGACAGAACAAAAAACAAAAATGAATGAAAGAAAACAGCATGAATGAAAGAACGAATGACAGAACAAACGAAAATCAAAAGAACCAATAAGAGCAAATGAGAACCCAAAAGCGAAACTGACAGAAAGAAAAAAATTTTCAAAATAATGAAATAAAAAAAGAACAACAGCAAATGAAAGACAGAAGGAGCAACAAGAACAAATTAAAAGGAGCAAACAAGCGAATGAACAAAAGAACGATTGGAAAATGAAAATAAAAGAATGGACTAATGAACACAAGATATGTAGCTATTGTTTAACACAATTTTGCAGATGTTGTGAACATCTGAGCAAACAAATGACCACAGCCTGAGGAACCTGAAAGGGGAAGATTCCTCTAAAGCAGATCCTTTCATGATTACAGGATGCGTGTGGCTGACGTTATGAGTGAGACATGAGCGTGGTCATTCTGTTGTACCTGTAAACTGTACAGCCTCTGGGACAGCAGCAGCACTCGCTCATAGAACTGGAAAAACAGGAAGACAAGGGCAACATTACTGGCAGGATGATTCAATATTCAGAGACATTATTCTCACGAGACACAATGCCACATTCCTGCCAAGTGAAGTATCGCTGCACTAACTGCCGATTAGGTGCGGTGAATGCAAAGGTTACCATTTCAAATATGTATTGAGAGGGGTGTGAGAAATTATATGCGCCTTTTATCTCGTGGGAAACAAATTGAGACATAATCGCCTCAATTCCAATCCAATGTGCGCTCTTACCTCTGACTCTGGAAATTTACAGGTGGACCACATTTTGCGCAAGCCAGGTGAACAGGCCTCGTCCTGAGAGAGATGACATATTAAAATAAAAAAATAAAAAAGTTGTTTGGATTTATTCATGCATATCAATGTTTCATGAGAAAAACCCCAAATTAAGATAATTCAAAGACTTATTCAAAGATTATCATGGTAGATGAGTAATGCATTACTTTCTTATAGTTAATTATAGTAACAAACATTAACTCTTTCCCTGTCAAACGTGGAATTTTTTCGGGTTTCCGTGTTTTCACTGTTATACAATCGGGGGCGCTATTACTCATCTCCTGAATGAGTCCAGAATGTCCCGATCAAAAACACAGGCGAGGAAGACACAGAAACGAGCAATCTCATATATAAGCAGATGCATATGAAAAATAATGTGATCATCGATCTGCCTAATGTTACAGAGTGAAATGTAGATCCAGGAAGTGGTTTATGACTGTGCAAGCTTGGGGGGGGGTGCTGATGGAAGCGTTCTACTACATCTTTGCTTTGATCATCGTATTGAATATGATCCAGATATACACTCTAAACAATGCTGGGTTAAAAAGGGACAAAGCCAGCTATTGGGCTGTTTTGACCCAACCATGATTTTTCTTTGCTTTTTGCTCAAAATGTTGCTTTCAGTTTCAATGTTCAGATATTCATATGTTCAGATATTCATACAACAAAATATTCTGGGGGCCATGAAATTTGATTGAAAATGATCAAAAATGCTGGCAGGGAAAGAGTTAAAGTCAGCATGAAATCAAAATTGGCTTTTAATGTATGTCCCTGTGGTTATTGTGAACAATTCATCCATGCATGATATTCTTAAAATAAAAGCTTGTATTAAAATTTGATGTGTTTCCTCCTTGGATGATGTCATCAAGAGAGGTAGGTGGTGAAAATAATTTTTATAGTCAAACATCCCATTCTGCCTCCATTTTGGTACGAAGTGGGCTCCTTCCACAATCCAATAACTTCTTGATTGATAAGCTAAGACCCATCCTACTTTTTTCCTGCTGAGTATACTGTTTCTATAATATGTCACATCATGAAAATTTGTGGTGAGCTCTGTTTTCATAAATGATGAATGTTAAGTTTTTTTCCCCCAGATTCTCCCAGAAAGGAGGTCTATTTTATGGCTGTTATTGACATCCTCCAGCATTATGATGCCAAGAAAAAGGCTGCTCATGCAGCCAAGACGGTAAAGCATGGGGTGAGTGCTTTGACTTTTACATTTAAATGTAATTTTTCTGAATATTCAGAGTTATATCACTGTAAAATAATTCTGTTAAATTTACTCTAAAAAACTGTTCACCGTAAAAAATACTGTGACAATGTTTCCAGTATTATGGCATGGTATATTGGTGCCTGTATACAACTTATAACCATGTATTTCAATAAGTTATATAATAACCAAGTTAATATACCAATGTACTTAAAAATACCAAAATTAGTTTTTACCTTAAAATGTACCAATAACTACCATAATAATACAGGTGGGAAAACAGAAAGCCACATGATGAATATGACCAATAGTCATGTATAGGCGGTGCACATGGTCATACCCTCAAAGACAAAAAACAATCAGAGGAACACACATAATTAAAAAATAATGCAATAGACAAACTAAATAACAGAAAATGTAACACCAAACGCATAATTAAAAATAATGCAATAAATCTAAACTAAATAACACAAAATGTAACCCGAAACACAATGTACATGACTGATAACAAACATATGAAGAAACAAGCCTATTTAAATAAAATATAATCATATGTGATGTGTCACACAGGGACTTCTGGGCATGTCTTTTTACTGTTCACCATAAATTATATGACAGTACATAGTTTTTACTTCCAAAAAACATTAATTTAATTGTCTTTTACAGTGAAATTACATGTAATGTGAATGTTAAACCATTTACAGTTTTGCACAGTATATGGTCAATCGACAAGTTTATTTTTCTGCAGAAGAAACATTCTCAAATAATAAAAAAATACTTCTAGAATTACCTCTACATTTTTGAACTTGTACCAAGAGTACAGTACAGAGGGCTACTTTGCGTATTTCTCCCAAGCATCTCATTCATCATTCATGCTCTAAAGTGAACCTTTTATAGCTTTTATCAAGGCATCGACCTCATGCTGTTTTCATCTTAGGCTGGGGCAGAGATTTCCACCGTGAACCCAGAGCAGTACTCGAAGAGATTCTATGATTTCATCACTACCATTCTGCCCTAGTCTGAGGCAACTGAGCTGAGTCCACAGGGATGAAGAGGGACGCCAGCAGAGGGGTGTTGAACACTCACTCGCCCGCTCTGCCACAGGGGGGCACCCCTACAGCAGCTACAACCACCATTCGTTTACATTTGGATTTTCATTTATTTGTCTTTTTGTTTTGTGGGACCATGTGAGTGATGGAAAAGGACAGCAGTTGTAACTTTTTTTGGGGGGGATAGGGCTTTTTACTGCTTTCTTGTGCATGCCCCTTAATCTTGTTTGTTCCATTTGATATTTTTCTTGCCTTTTAAAGCGGAAGAGGACGGAGAGAGGAAAGAGAGCTCATGTGATGGTCTGTGGCTCAGTTAGTAGAATTAGGTCTTTGAAAAAGGAGGCCAAAACACAACTTCTCAATTGGAACTGTATGCGTTCTCTCACTGAATCATTCATCAAATCCCTAGCTGAACTCACTTCACGCAACCCTTGACTGCCCGCTCTGCTTTACTCCACCGGGGTCAACGGCTTCACGGAAAGGCACCTGAAGCACTTGACACCACGGCACCTGCTAACTCTCCTTACTCGCACAGTCCTCTTCATTATCTGGACAGACTAACCAGAAACACTCTTTGAGCCATTTACAAAAGGAGGACCCATCGCCCCCTAACTTGCCTTGTGTGGACAGACAGCTGAATCTGACTGTTTTGCATGTTCCTTCAGTGTTCTGAGGCGTTTGAAACGGTGGCGAAGGTTTCCGGTAGGTTTTTTTTTTGGTTTGGGTTTTTTTTGGAGTTTGTTTTGCAGCAACTTGACAGGAGGGAGAATGAAGACACTGAGGCAGCAGGATCAGTGGTTTCTCTTCAGTCATCAGTGATTTCTGTTACATTAATGATTCAATTACCATCAGCACCTTAAACTGTTGCACTTTTTATTAGGATCACTCGGTCTGTTACAAGCTGCAACGATAGCACTATGAGGCACTGTTCAACGCAGCCTTGCCGTTTCACGTGTTCTCACGCATACGCTTGTTCTCAACAGACAAAACATAGTTTACCTCTTGCATTGTACCAGGACACACCGATTTGTGTTGCGTTTCAGTATTCCATGGAGGTTTGGGGAAGGGGTGCTTTATTGTTTTTTTTTTTTTTTTTATTCATTTTTTTAAA